TCATGGGGCGGGGCCTGGGGCCGGGCAGCTGGGAACTCGGCCGCACTGTGCCTCAGGTGTGGCGGAGGTGCCGGATGCGGATCTTCACGGTGGCCCAGGTGGACGACAACAGTGTCCAGATGAAGAAGGACCTGCAGACCTTCCTGTACCACCTGCGGATCAGCGCCGAGGTGGAGGTGGTGGAGATGGTGAGCGCGGGCGCTGCAGAGTTTGGCGTCGCTGGGCGTGCGAGGTGCAACAGGGTGCAGCAGGGTTCCCGTGGCTGTCACCATGAGGGTCGCCACTGAGGCCAGGCCCTGCTGGCCACCGCGCGCTGTGCTCCTGACCCAGCACCATGCGGTGTCACTCACAGCGTTCTCTGTCCCAGGATGCAGGGGGCCCCGGGCAGCCCGAGGGCTGTGGGGAGTGGGTGTGAAAATGACTGAGAGGAGGCTAGTGGTCAGGGGCCAACACTTAACAGTAGGGAATCCAGGCCACCGATGAGGTGCCCGGCCAGCGAGGGTCAGCGAGCAGGCTGAAGAGCGCGGAGTGGCACGGAGGCCGTGGGGGCTTTGCTAAGACTCCTTACAGTGAGCGGACTGCGTCAGGAGCTTCAGGGCAGGGAGAGCAGAGGGTCGCGTCGCTGGCCCTCGAGGGGGCGGGTCCGGGCTTCAGCGCCTGCGCACACGCCAGCGAGGCGGGCGACGCGGGGTACACGGGGAGCACGCGGCACTTTGAGCGCGTGACGCCTCCGCTCCCGGGAACCTTCCAGGTTGAGAACGACATCTCCGCCTTCACCTACGAGAAGACGCTGGTCATGGAGCAGAGGTCCCAGATGCTGAAGCAGATGCAGCTGTCCAAGACGGAGCAGGAGAGGGAGGTGCGCGCGGGGCGTGGCCACCGGCGCCAGGGCGGGGCCCCGTGCTCCCCCAGACCGCGGGGCTTTGGGGACCCGGCCTCTGCCATCACGTGAGCTGGTCCTCTCCGCCCCTGGTTTGGAGTGGCTGGTGTCCTGACTGCTCGTCCACCTCTGCCCATGAGCTTCGAGGCGGGGCGGGCTTACAGTCTCAGTGGCCGTGCCTAGCCAGGGTCAGGCTGTGTCATCCCAGCCTACCCCATGCGGTCTCCTCAGAGCCATCCCAGCTGTGCAGCCCCCTCCTCTCATGTCACCTGCCTGGACCACCACTGTGGCCTAACGGGCCACCTTCCTGTCCCATCCACCCTCAAACCACCTGCCACAGTGAGTCCCTAAGCTGACTCATTAACCCCTCCCGCAGGCTCCATGCCTGACCTCACGTGGGCCGGCAGCCCCACACCGCCATGCCCGGACCCCTCATTCCCACAGGCCTCCCCTTCTCCCTCTGGTCCCTTTGCATACAGGCCTCCCAGAGTGTGTCGTGTATCGCTGGGGCTCCCTCCTCCCGTACCCCACCTCCAAACTCTGTGGTGCTTGCTGCTCACCCCAAAACAGGCTTCTTGACAGCCCCTGTGCTGTTGATGAATGAGCGGTTGAATGGTGGGATGGTGGATGGTGGATGGATGGATGGTGGATGGTGAATGGATGGGTGGATGGATGGATGGTGGATGGATGGTGGATGGTGGATGGATGGTGATGGTGGATGGATGGATGGTGACGGTGGATGGATGGATGGATGGATGGATGGATGGATGGATGGTGGATGGATGGATGGATGGATGGATGGATGGATGGATGGATGGATGGATGGATGGATGGATGGATGGATGGATGGATGGATGGATGGATGGATGGATGGATGGATGGATGGATGGATGGATGGATGGATGGATGGATGGATGGATGGATGGATGGATGGATGGATGGATGGATGGATGGATGGATGGATGGATGGATGGATGGATGGATGGATGGATGGATGGATGGATGGATGGATGGATGGATGGATGGATGGATGGATGGATGGATGGATGGATGGATGGATGGATGGATGGATGGATGGTGATGGTGGATGGATGGGTGGATGGTGGATGGATGGGTGGATGGTGAATGGATGGGTGGATGGTGGATGGATGGTGGATGGTCGATGGATGGATGGTGATGGTGGATGGATGGTGGATGGTGGATGGATGGACGATAGACGGGTGGCGGACGGATGGATGGGTGGGGGAAAGGGTGAGTGGGGAGGGTTAACGAGAGGGAGGGAATGGAGGGATGTGGGGGTGGGGAGTGGAGGCTGCATGTAGAACCGAGATGTTCACGTGCCTGTCCTCTTGTGTCGGCCTGGAGTCCTGGTCCTCCCTCGGTGGCTTTCGGAGGCAGGGCAGGAAGAGACAGCAGAAGTGCTGAGTTTGGTCTAGAAGCCCAAGAGGAGGGCGATTGGCCATGGGTGGGGGTGGCGCTGGGCCCCCACATGGGAGGCCGTCCGAGGGTCCCCGGGTCCGGCTGGACACGAAGCCCTCTTGGTCCTGTGGGCCAGCGGCCCCTCCTGCCCATGCTCGCCGCCTCCCTGGGGAGTTTGGAGACCTTTGGCGAGTCCCGTCACTGCTCCGCCCTCCCGCCAGGCCCAGCTGATCCACGACAGGAACACCGCGTCGCATTCCGCGGCAGCTGCCAGGACCCCAGCCCCGTCCACACCGGACAGGGTGCAGATGACCTGGACGAAGGAGAAGCTGGTCGCCGAGAAGCACAAGAACAGAGAGTCCAGTGTGTCCGGGTTCAAAGACCTTTTCAGCCTGAAGCCGTGAGTGTCAGCCCCCGGGGCCTAGCTCCTTCATAGCCGCGGGCTGGGAGGCCAGGGGACCAGCCCGAGGGCCACAGCAGGGCTGGCTGCCCAGGGCCGGGCAGCGGGGCGGCGGTGAAGCCGGCTCGTCTGTTCCCGGCGGGTCTCACAGCGGCTGGAAGTGAGCTTCTGGGTGGACTGGGACCCCCGGCTTGGACTGGCTGACGGTGCCTGTCGAGCCAGGGCCTGCGGCCTTGACTGAGACCCCCGGGGCTGGCAGCGGTGTCCATGGGGCACAGTGAGGCCGTGCCGTGTGGAGGGGTCCCGGGCTGTCACGATTCCACAGCCCCCGGTCCTAGGGTGGAGCGAGCGATTCCCCCGGGGTTTTCAGGCCCTAAGACCCAGGGTCTGGGCAAGGGTCTGGGGGCCTTTGGGGGCCCCTGGGGTGAGACCCCTCAAGGAGGAGGACCCAGGGAAGCCAGGAAAGGGCGGCCTGGGCTGAGCCCGCGGTGGCTTGTGTGTGCGTCGCGGTCACTGCTGAAGTAACGTGTTCTCTGTGTTTTCTCTTCCATGTAGAGAATGGGGACACCTGTAAGTCATTTGCTCATCAGGGCGCCCCTTCGCCTGCTTGCCTCGCATGCCCCCCACGCGCCCCGTGTGTGTGTGTCGCGTGCGGGCGGCGTGAGTCCGCCGCTGCTGTGGCTTAGTGTTTGCTGCTGCACGCGCCCCCGTCTGTTCAGAGTGGCTCACGGCACAGCCCCGCCTGAGCCTCAGTTCCGCCTGAGACACGGGCGGGTTGGGCCCGAGTGGCTCCGGCCCGCGGGAGGGAGTGCGTGCTCGCTGGCATTTGGCTGATTCATCCACAGCCCTCGACCGAGGCGTCAGATGCAAGAGTCAGTCCTGCGGGGCCTGTCCCCCTGCACCGGCCCCTTGGTGCCCGGAGAAGGTGGCTGTCCCATAACCGCCATGTGAAGAGGGCTGTGGCTGGTCACTGCGTGGTCAGGCTGGCATGTAGACCCACGGCCAGGGCACCCCCGAGGCTGCTGTCCCCCGTCTGTCTGTGCCTCTCTGCGTCCCCTCCTGCGGCATTGCGGCCAAGGGCAGTCTGGGGACGAGGCACCTGCATTTTTGTTTTGGCTCCTACCTGGAGTTGGCTGCATGCTGAGGACACTGACGGTGTCGGTCCCAGAGGCGGCAGCCGCGTCACGGGCTGTGCTGGCCAGGGACGTGGGGCTCCACTTGCTGCCCTATTGTGTGGTAAATTAAGAAACTCCCCCTTAAAATCCACAGATTGCAAAAACTGGGACCTGTATGCACTGGAATAGGATTTCTCCCCAGAACATAGGGTTTGGGGGCCCGTGAGCTCCCGGCCCCACACGGCCGCAGGTCAGGGCTCCACGCCTGCGCCCTGACCCCTGGCACTGGGCAGGGTGGGGGCGGACCCCACAGGCCTGGAGACGCAGAGGCGGCCGTTTGGTGTCCTGTGAGCACACAGCTTGACGTCGCTCAGGGCGCACCCACGTCCAGACGCCCTCGTGGGTAGGCCGGGGAAGCTTCTGGAAGGCGGGGGCCGCTGCGCCTGACGTGTGCACCTTGCTGTGTTGTTCTTCTGGCTGTGTCGTGTGGGTCTTTTTCTGTCCGCAGCCCCCTCGTGCAATGCCACCGGGAGCCTGGGACCCAGAACCCCCACCCTGCCCCAGTGGCTCCTGCCGGACCCCAGGCCCTGGCGCGGGGACCCTGGGCAGGCAGTGTGCTCTGATTCATGGCTGCCGTTGGCTTCCTGGGGCATGAGGCCCCCCGCCTGCCCGCACCCTGCCCTCCGTGGGGCCTCGGGCGCTTCAGGCCCAGAGCTTTGACTTTAAGGTCACGTGTGTCCTCAGACTCTGAGCCCTAAGAGACCCTGCAGCACTTGACACACGCGTGGTGGCAGTTGCCACCGTCCCCAAGCACATGGCAGTTGTGGTCCCCGCAGGCAGTGAATTCCTGGTTCTTAGGATGAGGTGCCGGCCGTGCTGCGGGCAGAGGCCGCGCTCTCATTTCTCAGACGAAATTGGAGGCGGGAGACAGAGGGTCCGTGTCCCTGACCCCTCCTGGGAGCTGGTGGTTGCGACTGCTCGATGGTTCGAGGGTGGCCTGGGCGTCCTGCAGGCCTCCCTCGACCCCTCATGTATAGCACCCCCCGTCTTTCTGCCATGGGGGCGGGTCTGCAGTCCCCCCAGCCTTACTTGGCCGAGGACCCTCCCTGGGGGGCCATCCAGGACCCTGGGGAAGTAGCACAGTGCGCGTTCGGCCACTTGGTGGAGCGTATTGGACCAGGTGGTGAGGACGTGGGTTGCAGAGTGTGGGAAGCTGCCGTCCTTCAGCTGTAGCCAGGGCAGCAGTCCAGGAGCACCGAGGGCCGGGTCCTTCCCCGCCATCGGCATCTGGGGTCCCCGGGGACCCCAGCCTGCATGAGCGAGGGCCGCTGTGTGCACGTGGAGCGGTGGGCTAGCGCGGGCAGCAGCCGCAGCCGGGTTCGGCCATGCCCCAGGGGCCCCGGTGGGGCACAGTTCTGAGCCAGTGGCCGTGAGCACCTCCCTGCACCTCCATGCTCGCCAGCACCGCGTCCGCCTGCGTGGACCGCTGCTCCACACGAGCTTGGCCGCTTCATGATGCTCAGTGTGACGCGCGTGGAGGCCGTAGCCCAGTCATTGCTCAGTACCACCCCCCCCCGCCCCATCATGGCTCTGCCATGGAGTCACCCCCCGCGGGGCCTGCAGGGCGGCAAGTCCATGCGGGCCAGACGCTCCCGCCGGCCCGTGACGGGCGAGGGGAGCCGGGTGGGCTCAGAGGGACCATCTTCCCCGCAGGAACCAGTCGAATGTCAGGAGGATGCACACAGCCGTGAAGCTCAATGGCGTCGTCCT